AATTATTATTATTATCATTATCATTATTATTATCATCATTATTATTATGATTATTACCTGGAAGATGCCAGACCGTTGAGAGCGGCCCTGATGTTGAGGTAGGTGATAGTGCGGTGAGTGCCGGTCACGCTGTCAATGATGGAGTCCTTCAGCTGGTAGTGTTGGGTGGACTTGGCCCAGACAGACACCCCAAGGGCCTGGGGAGAAAGAAAGAAAGAAAGAAAGAAAAGACGGTTATTTTAGGGCTTGAAGTACATGGCAACGGAACCGTTTGTTTGTTTTAGTAAGAGTTATACGGCACTTGCAACACAATAAGGTCATATAAGGGCCGAAGATTAGAGGTGTAACACGTGAGTAACAAACATAAAAAAGAAGGACGGGAGGTAAGGACGATAGTTGTCTGAAAGGAAAGAAGGAGCAAACCACACCACAGCACCCGTCAACCACCCACGGCAAGGGAACGCAGCACCATTCTCTACCAGGAACAGAAAAAATAAGATGAGGTTTTTCCTTTTTTAATGTCATGTATTTTATGTCCCCATTCACACAATTTTGATCATTTAGGAGATAAGCTTCGACTTTGCTTGTCAGGGCCTGTTGGGCATGAGAAGGAAACAACGTCTCAGCAGAAAGACCATTACTCTTCATAAAAATTGTCCCAATATGGGAATTGTACTCGAGTCTTCCGGAAAACGTAAGAAGGGAAGACCAAAGATGACATGGAGGCGAGCGGTACAAGCGGAAATTGAAAAAGCGGGGACATCATGGGAACAGATAGAAAAGGATGCTCAGGACAGGCTTCGCTGGAGTAATGCTGCTGATGGCCTGTGCTCCACTGGGAGTTAAAAAGGGCGAGAGAGAGAGAGACTCAAGTCTTCAACGTGCAAACTGCTACACAACAGACAGAAGGAGACAAAGCAGATATCAGTTGATTCACCTAGAAGGAAAAAAATAAAAAGATCCAACATTCAGGAACCCTAAAGAGAATGCCCATCTATCCCTATGCTTGCTATGAAATGATTTGTTTCAAGGAAAGAGAAGCACAGTGACGCAATAACAGTCATTTAGGGCAGGGCAAAAGCTTGTCAGACAGACAAAAAAGCAAGAGAAGAACAGGACCTACCATAAGTGCCCTCAAACCACCTGCCTAAATTGAGCTACACCATATTATGTTTAATAGATAAGATAAGATAAGATAGATAAAATACATCTTTATTGTCCAGATCCTGGCACATTGGTTTGGTGTTTCACCACTTGTACACACACACACACACACACACGTACGCACGCACGCATGCATGAATGCACGCACGCATGCATGCATGCACACACGCACACACACACACACACACACACACACACACACACACACACATGCACACACACAAAGGCTAACAATCATATGCATAATATAAATGAGCAGTAATATAAACAATAATAATCTTAAGCTAGATACACACTCAATGTTTTTCTGATGCAAGCTCTAAGGCCGTAAGTATACTTATACAAGATGGTTAAGGTGGAACCATTTTGATGGATGATGGTAAAAATGACCTTCTATATCTTTCTTTGTTACAGATCAGAAGCCTAGGTCTTTTACTTCTGAGTTTTTATTTGAGGGAACAAGGGACGTTTGTTGTCTAAAAAGATGGAATAAATTTTTTTAGTGCAAGCTGTTATGTACAATTCATCCAAGTAGGGGAGTGTAGATGTTGAAATTTTACATGCTTTCCGTATTAGTCGATTTAATTTTTCTTTTTCTTGTTGTCTTGTGTTCTTGGCCCATGCTGTTATACAAAAATTGATCATACTTTCTATGGTTGAATGGCAGAATATGGACATTAATGTTGAATTCCCTTGCATACAAACTTATTAATATTCTCATCACAGAAATTGAACCTGACCGTAACGATCTGATTTCCACATTACCTTGTTGGCAGTTGAAAATTGCCCTGCAATCTCCAGGTTTTGACAGTCTGTCTTCAAACGGTCAATGAACCCAGCTTGTGGGCTGGTGTAGGTCACCTGACACTCGCCACTGACATCCACCTGATGACACAAGGGTCAATGACAGTAAGTAAGTAACAAGAACAGAAACATAAAATGAATATCACTCATTGATAAACTACATCCTTAACCCCAGGAATGGAAAAATCCTTGAAACCTGTCGTGATCAGCAAAATTCTATTGTCTTGGAAGACACGATGAGAGCACGTTAAAATGAGGCTTGAGTTTCAGGAGGAGGAGGAGGAGGAGGAGGAGGAGGAGGAGAAGGAGAAGAAGAAGAAGAAGAAGAAAAAAGAAGAAGAAAGAAGAAGAAAGAAGAACAAATAAATTGTATTTTTTTTTGTTTTTGTAAAGTGTTTTACGGCACTCGCAACTGCATAGGTCATATGAGCGCGCGGGACACTCCTAATATTTTCAGTTGGTAGGAAATTTT